CAAACGGGAATAAAGATTACAGAAATTGAACGTTTTTCGTAATCTTTGATCGGCCCATTCTCAAATGCCTTTCTCCGTTCCTCCTCTCATTCCGTTTGTTCCTTGCCGAACCCGTAATTCCCTGGTCCATTCCAGATTATAATCTTTGCAATTGGTGAAAATGTAATCTTTATTCCCGTTTGTGACATGTGGAGGCCTAAAATACGGGAACCAATCAGAAATGGATTCAAATTGTCTTGACTCTCAGTATAAAGGGACTCTAAGCCAAGCAAGCCAAGAATGTTTACATGGTTTCTGTCGGTAACGTTTCGGCGCATGGAGATTTCCCTCTATAGTCATCTCATAGTCATAATAATGTAAACAACACATGAACAAAAACCAAAAACCACAACAACAAATCGTGTCTTTTGTAGGTTAACTCATAATCTTAATGTAATCGTCCTGAACATATTTTTAATTAACTTTTATGAAAACAATGTGTTTTATTAGAAATATAACATATTTTTAAAATACGTGTTAAATGTACTGTGTGTCTGTTAATAACTTGCTTCACATCAGTGGCTACAGTTAACCGGTTCCATTTGGCGATCACTTTGGAACAGCCGAGTTTTATCATTGCTTCTGTACTACATTTATGACACATAGTTTTTGAACAATATCAACCAACAGTAAGTATGTCATGAGCTACACTATCCTTGCTACTTTTCCAAAATTGAATATCCATTCGCACTCTATGGCTGACAAAGGCAGTGAGCATCCTACAGGAAACAGGAAGCTTTTCTGCCATGCCATGGAGCTGTTGTTCATCGATGGTGAAAGTGCAGAAGTGCGTATCTCGATTTTTGACAGTTTTGAGTTAGCTACATAAACTTGTTGCTGAAAATGTTGTCTATCTGCCAGCAAAAGACTATAATCGAAAAAAATTGGGAAGTCACCTAAAACTGTAAAACTTTTTTCGCGTATCTCTGGCTTAAATGCAGAGATGCGTATCTCGTCCTGGCCTCTCATTTGATGCAGCACTCCTTACGCACAACGCGCTCTCCTCAGTATTTCCTGCCTACAGCATATGTAAGCTGATTAGGTGTTCTGTCTTTTTATATATTTCATAGAATTCTCTGGTTTTGAAAAGTTGCTGATAGCTCATCACTCGAGGGCCCTCCAGTATAATTTCTTCATGGGAACTTATTACTAGCGTGGCACGCAGCAATCATGTCCATTATTTAGCCCTCTGGGCCAATGCAATCATGAACTGACAACGTCGGTTGTCAAATCATCTCAACGGTCAGTTGTCTTAGAGTCAATCGAGTCATACAATGCTTCATCTACCACCCAAGGGTCAAAAGTGTGATTCTCTTGTTTGAGAGAGGTCTCCAGATAAGAGGGAGCCTCCCTGAGGGATGGTCCGGTAATTTTAATTTGGGCTTATATTATTGCCAACAAATGCATTTCCGCGCATCGGCCTGTTCCCCCTGCATTTAACTATTTTACATACATCAAATTGACTTCAATTTTAAGCATCATAGTTATTTCACTACTTGACCCAATAGGCAAATACTGCGCATACATATTCTAGCTTGACTGATATGAGCTGTGCCCCGGCGGGTACCTCTGGCGTAGCGGAAATAGACGGAACCCTTGCATACCTACAGGGGCATAGGCATCCCCGGGGGTTGGGCTCCTTTGATGCAAAGTGGGGCATCCCTGGGAGTTGGGGTTCTTGGATGCCAGGGGGAGGGGGGCGGAGGATTGGATTCCTTGGATGTCAGGTGGGGCAGCCCTTGGGAGTTGGGCTTCTTGGATGCCAAGGGGGCAGCCCCGAGGGTTAGGTTGCTTGGATGTCAGGTGGGGCAGCCCCCGGGGGGTTGGGCTCCTTGGATGCCAAGGGGGGCAGCTCGTGGGGGATGGACTTCTTGGATGTCAGAGGGGCAGCCCCTAGGGTTGGGTTGCTTGGAAGTCAGGTGGGGCATTCCCGAAGGTTGGGTTCCTTGGATGCCAGGGGGGGCAGTCCCAAGGGTTGGGTTCCTGGGATAGGCCCGAAGGTAGGGCCGCACCCGAAGGGTTGGGCTCCTGTGACGCAAAGGGAAGCAGCCCCTGGGAATTGAACCTCTTGGATGACAGGAGGGGCAGTCCCGAGGGCTGGGTTGCTTGGAAGTCAGGTGTGGAAGGTTGGGCTCCTTGGATGCCAGGGGGCAGCCCCCGAGGGGATGGACTTCTTGGATGCCGGGGGGGGGCAACCCTGAGGGTAGGGTTGCTTGGCAGTCAGGTGGGGCAGCCCCCGGGGGTTGGGCTTCTTGGATGCCAAGGAGAGCAGCCCTTAGGAGTTGGACTTGGATGTCCGGGAGGGCATCCGAAGGGTTGGGTTGCCTGGAAGTCAGGTGGGGCACCCCCGGAGGTGTTACTCCATAAAAAGTGCGTATCAGGTCCCTGTAATCCGAACCATGTTGCCTGGGCCAAAGATTTGCCTTCAATTAGCCGGCTATGCAAAATGACTCTCCTGACGCACGAATGGTGGTATCAGAATTTTGCATTAAGATTACGGAATGGGTTGAAGGCGCTTTTCTGTATCGTTTGTGAGTGGCCCTGCACAATGATGTGTTGAGTCCATAATTTTGGGTCATCAATGGAGCCGTAATTTTGAAAGATGTTGGAAGAATATTATTTTTCTTTTTTTTATTAAATAATAAGATTTTTTTTTGTCTGTAAGTCTTATTTAAAAGAAGAGAGCCCAAATGCTCTGCTCAGATTGTGGTTTTTAAGTCTTCTTGCCTTGGTCAGCGTATTCTCATGCAAAACTGACTGAGTCGCCGTTTACATGATCGCAACCTCCTCAAAAGCGGTTGTGAATTAAATAAGTTTCGGACGGATGAAATAAGCTTTCGTCGATGGACTGTGAATAATCAAAATTGAGGAAAAGTTACCTTGTCTACTCGTCCATTTAAAAGGCGTAACGCGTGGATGGATGGAGCATGGATGTCCTCCGGGTTTCTGCGGGCACTAAATATAATGTATATATATAGATGGCAGTAGGTTTCCAATGGTATATGCATATGACAAAGTGTTGGAGGAAAAGTAGAAAAATAGTATTATCTATATAATTTTTTGAGGATCCAAGCAGAGACGATGTGTTCTAGAGACGCCGCACTGTCTTCTTACCTATCTATGGTGTAAAAGTTACTCAATGAAGCCAATTCTCTGATTCACTTATTGCGATGACTCACGGTATTGGATCAACTAAAGCTTCTGAACATGTTTTAAGTATGAATAGACTCTATTTTTAATCTTAATGATCAGGAGCAGGTTCAAAACGCTGATAATTTTAGAAATGCGTATCTCGTGATCAGCAAATTTCATTTTCCAATCATACAATTATCTGGTCATATGAGATCAAACTAAATCTTATCTGATAAGGAATTGTATGCATAAAACCCTTTTTTCAGTCTTTAAATGATCCAAATCCACCAACAACAGGTTTAAAACGCTAATTGCAAAAATACGTATCTCGTGATGAATTGGCGATTCTTAGTGCCGAAAACGCGAATCTCGGCATTTTTTGCCTTATTTTCTAACAGTTCGAGAAATTATTGGAAATGCCGATGGAGTCTGAAAAAACATATTATTCTTGCTATTTTCAAGAGTTATTATCCTTTTTCTAACAATGAAGCGGAATGTAGACAGTTTTTTTACTCTCCTGGAAAATCGTGTTTTCCGAGATACGCAGTTCTGCACTTTCACCATCGATATTCTCCTGTTGCGGGGAGTCTCTAACATTTACCTTAAAATTTAGAATGTAAGCCACACCCATAAACATGAAGAGAGAGTGCTTTACCCGAAAATGAAGCTGCGTTTTCAGTTGATAAGAGGTTTTGCGGCAAAAACAAAACCTATTTGAAATTTAATTAAAAAATGATGAAAATTGCGCAGATTGATGTAGGATAGAGAGTCCAGAATTCCCCTCTCCTCTCCCAAGATAATAAGATTGGGGAGATCTAAGTTAGCAAAAATTGAAAAAAATACAAAGATTCCTGCATAAGTATCTAAATTTTCGAATGGCATGCATTTTTGTAATCTTAAACGTTCATACCAAATCTTCAGCTGAGATATAATATCAATTGCGAACGCAACACTGTAACTTCTTTTGGAAACTGCAATAAAAGGATAAGAGTTACACTTCTTTCGTACGTAGATTCTCATTTTCCTCCATCATAGTCATCGCTTTCTATTGTATTTTTTTAACATCCTGGGTCAAACTTGAGATACTTCATCAGATATGATTAATCCACACAGTCACAAATTTTCTCTTCTTTAAGTCTGCTTCAACTTTTATTAAGAGGTCACAAGTCGCAGAACTATTTGACTCTGAGATGTCAGAATATATAGGTATTTATATTTTGTTTTAATTTTTTAAATTTCTGAAAATGTTTGTGTGTCATGAGTGAATTCATCGTAGCATGGCTTTTCCTCTAATATACATCAAGTTTTTCCTGTTTGTTTCCAGTGACACTTGCTCTCCTAAGACAAGCTTGGCACTCGAATGCTAAAAGTGTACCTCAGCATTACTTCAGAGTGTCTGGTTGGAGTGTCACAACCAGAAACCATCCTTGTCACTCACAGCTGCACCAGCATTTGTCGTTAAAAGGTCCAAGTGCTAATTTTAATCAGGGTTTCTACCGTTGCTTTATGAGCCATGATGGAACATCCGTCGTTAAGCAGTCACGGAACATGGCCCTCCGAGATGGGGTTCCAAAAACCTACGAATTAATCTACGCTCTCCCAATGGAAAAAACTATCATAGCTGTTCAATTTGGTGTGATTGGTATTACTTGTGCTGGGTGTTTCCTTCTGTATAAGTTTTACACGACCGATGGAATACGGGACGTTCAAATCGGTGCCTTTGATGATGATCAATTAAGATCGCTTCGCATGAGTGATGCAAAACCTCTCCTTACATTAGGTGGTGCAACATTAGCGATGCTTTATCTCTTGATAAGAAGATTTCCCATTCGTATTTATCGTAGCAATGAAGCTAGTGATCCCCGCTACATTGCAACGTTTATAAATCAATTTCTACCCTGGAAGAAATCAAACTATGAGTTTGTGTCTGCGCGGAAGACGAGGCTCGATTTTATTGCAAGGTATATTTTCCAATTTGAGACTTACTGGCTTGGAAGAAAGCAAGCTATTCTCTTCCCTACTTCATTCAAAACACCCCAGGATCATGAGGAGCTGATAGAGCCTCAGTCTGGGAATGTAAAAAAAGAGGTAGAAACTAATCGGACTGTAGGTAAAAAATAACCAAAATCCTCTCAATGCTCTTTTAAGCACTTTGCATGCCTGCTCGTTATTTTTATTTTTAAAAAAAGATCATTTAAATAATTAACATCAGTTCACAAAGGAAGAAACTTCACCCACTCTACTGTGACAGGGGGACGGTTTACTGAAGTTTTCCTAATTTGAAAAAGAAAAAGTACCAAAATGAAGGGTGCAAGATCTCCAAAACTGTTTTTCTGTAAGAGTTCTGTGTGTATTATTGTTGTGTTAAGTTCAGTCCTCTGAGTTTAAATTTTTAGACCTCAAAAATACAAGTTTGTATGTGTTTTATACCTGAATACTAGAAATTATTAAAAACGTTCGATTTTTTTGTTAAGTTTTTTGTAGATTTTTTCTTGATGCTTTCCCAAGTTTCACCTGCTGCCTGTTTTTTTTAAGAGGCGAGATTGATGCATCAAATCTATTTCCGAATCTGTCGTGTAAAATTGTGATAGGTACTCTGAGCTCATTTTATTTTTCGCAAAATCATGCAAAAACTTATTTCTTGAAATTTGCGACGAAAATCTGCCAGGGGAGAAAAAAACATCATTTAATAAATTGAAAATCCACTTAAGAAGTGCCTTCTGATTTCTTCTACCGTAAATTCGTCGCTCACAATCAGTGATGCTTATGTTTGTACCAGTTGCCTCTGCCTCCTGTACTGCCGTGCTAAGTAAGAACGCCGTATGAACCCTCAGACGTCACCAAATTTTCATTTACGAAACACAAATTTCCTGGTAAACTCAAGAATATTTTTCTTCCAATTTTTCAGTTAATTTTGTTTGCAATTTCAGCTAAAGTTCCTGAAAAGTTCAAGGAAAAATTTTCATAATTTTCCTCAAAAGTAAACATTTTATTGAAGGAAATTTGGCAACTTTCAAGTGTTCATACGGCGTGCTTCCTTAGCGCGGCAGTGTACTTTACATCACTGAAAAGAGCATGATGTCAATCACCATGTGTTTCAAAGGGCAGAACTTATATTTTTGTTATTAATGAAGAAAGAAACTTTACTATTAGCCGAGCAAATATATTATTTCCTATTAATCTACGATGAGGGCATAGCTCAGAAATCAAATCACAATTAAACAGTTTCAAAAGATTACCTCTCATTCTGTAAATTATTCAATTTTAATTTATCAATAGTTCGCAGAAACAAGTCAACTTTATTGCTTGACATTTTCAAAAAATATTCTTAGAACAGGCAAAGGAAAATGAGGGATATATTAAAAAAAAAAATTTCTCTGATTATTAGTTGTGTCCCTCTAAGAAATAAATAACTCGGAGTCCACGGAGTCAATTAAAACCGAGAGATAATTATGTGGTTCTCTTGTGTACTCCGGAGTTCGAGTAGTTTTCGCAATCAACGTTGCGAGTGTAATGCCAACATTCATAAAAATTAGTAATTGATGACTTAGTAATTAATTGACTTGACTTTTCGGTAAAAGGGCGTATAAAGCTTGCAATGCTGCTAAGGTTGTGCAATTTTGTATAGCGCTCGCGGCAGATGAAATTCATTCATAGTCAGTTTGCTTCCTTACAATGGTGAGGCAACACTTGGAGCAGATTCGGAGAAAAATTCATAGCAGAACTGTCGGATAAGTTATTTACGACTAGAGAACTACGTTGCACAATCTTAGGGGTATTGTAAGTCTCGTACGCCTTTTTACCGAAAAATGCCTCCGTCGGAGACAGGTGAAAAGCTAAAATTTTCCTTCCTCTTCACGTGATACCACATTACATACCTACTTCGAAGTCCGAGCAGTTGCTCGTTTGATTTCCGCTTTTAACGATACATAATGCCTAAATTCATAAGCGTCAGTGTCTTGAATTTTCTTAGTCAACCTTCGACAATTTGCGTATCCGTCGCGATATTCAGGTGAATAACTCGTGATTATTCGTGATTTTACAAATGCACTGGAGCTATCACGTATTCAGTATTACTGCGATATCGAGGTGATTATCGCGTGCTTTCTCATTTATTTTTTACCAAAGCGCTGGAGGAATCGCGCGTTTTACGCGATACTCAGATGAAAACCGCGTAAGTACTTGTTTAAAGTTTCTCGAATCCACAGGAAATATTGCGTACTTGTCGCGATATTCGGATAACATTTGCTTAATTTCTTCGCGTTTAATCCGGTGAAAATGAAGCGGGCAACTATTTAAGCTCCGGAGTAGGTTTGTGGTATCACGTGAAATTGAAGGAAAATCATGTTTTCGATTGTTTTCAATTACAGAGCACAGACGTTTATGAACATTTTGCCCGCATCGAAATAAATATCGCGTATTTTCCGCGATGGTAATGTGAGAAAATGATACCGTCACTTTTTTTTTTTTCATTTAATCGTTGGAATTTTGCGTATCCGTCGATGTTTAGGTGAATAAGGCCTTGTCCACACGAGCGCGGTTCGCGGAACTTATTTCGAGGAACTTATTCCTCCAAAACCCGGAACTTCCCCCGTACTCCGAGCTTCTACATACGTTTCTTTTGATGTGAATTTGTTTGTTTTTGTTTTTCACGTCCTTTATATGCGTCTTGACATTTATTTTTGTTACTTTGTCGGCCGTAATAATCCATTATTTTGCAATAATCGTATAGTTTTATTGAAGCTCCGGTTCCAGTTCGGGCGAACTCGTGTGGACAGCATGCCTCGTTTCAAGGAATAAGTTCCGGGAACTGAGCAGTTCGAGGAATAAGTTCCGCGAACCTGCGCTCGTGTGGACAGGGCCTAACGCGTGACAATTAGTGATTTTACAAATGCACCAGAGTATGTATCGCGTATTACCGCGATATTGATGTGGTTATCGCGTAATTTCTTTTCTTTCTTTTTTTTTTCTCTATTTTTGCGAAATTGCTGAGGAAATCGCACTTTTTTCGCATAGCGATAGAAAAAGTGGAACATTACTTAAGATTAAACGAATCTGTGGGAAATATCGCATACTCGTCCGGACATTCGTATGAAATTCGCCTGATTTTTCACTTTTTAACAAACGAAAATGAAGCGAGCAACTGTTCGAACTCCGGAGTAGGTTTGTGGTATCACTCGAAATAGAAGGAAAATCTGAAGTTTTCGGATGTCCCAAGTTACTGACGTTTATCGACATTTTGCTCTCATCGAAATGAAAATCGCGTATTTACAACGATATCGGGGTGAAAATTGTGTGATGCTCCTAGTCAACCGTTTAAAATTTGCGTATCCGTCGCGATATTGATCTGATCTGAGTGACGCGTGATTTTTTATTACTTAATAAAACCGGCGGAAAAATGGGCTGCGATATCGATGTGATTGTCACGTAATTTTTTACTTTTCTTACGAAATCGCTGACGAAATCAAGTATTTCTCGATAACGAGACGAAAACCGCGTCCTTGTTCAGGATTTCACGAATTCGCCGAAAGTATCGTGTACTTATCTCGATATTGATGCGAAATTTCCGAAATGTTTTACTTTTAACCAGTGAAAACGAAGCGAGCAACTATTTCAACTCCGGAGTAGGTTTGTGGTATCACGCGAAATTGAAGGAAAATCTTAGGTTTTTGCCTGTCTCAAATTCTCAAATTACGAACGTGTATGAACATTTTCGCTCCCATCGAAATGAAAATCTCGTATTTCCCGCGAAAGTAAGGTTAAAATTCGGGACAATCGGGTAAAATTTTCCTTCGTTTTTGCGTGATACACACGTGATACCTCGTGTTACACACCACATTACATACCCACTTCGAAGTCCAAATATCGTTGCGAGCTTGGTTTCCGAATTTCATGTCGCGATGCGAGCATAATACCTACATTCACAAACGTTGCGCGAATCCCAACTCCAGCGCAGGTATAAGATGTAGTATCACGCGGAAAGGAAGGAAAATCTTAGCTTTCCACCTTTTTCAAATTGTTTTGCAATTAATTAATATTTCCAAAGGGCAGAAAGATTCTGAAAATTTCAGAAGTGTCATGTCCCTGGTAAAAATTGGCGATAGGAGCTGCGTTTCAAAATACCATGGGAGTTCTTATAGCCGACTAAAAAAGGCTATTGAAAATCATATAGCTGGCTGTAGAAAGCGGAGCAAATCATATAGCCGGGCTACACGAAGCTATAAAAAAGTATACAGTCGGGCTATAGTTTCTGTTGCCGGGCTTTACTTTTTATCGCCATTAGCTATACAAGGCTTTAAGAAATTGTGTAGAAATTCGCGTGCTTTGGAAATCATTAAGTTTGATACGGAACTACCTTCATATTTACAAAACACACATTATATTTTCCTTTAAAACATATTTTTTTTTCATCAATTAAAATGAGAGTAGTCCATACAGAGTGTGCAAACACTTCCAAATCATGAGTTGAAAAACGCTGACTCCGCGAGATTAAATATTAGGGCCTAACACAAAGCGGAGCGGCGACGCACAGGCGCCTACAAACCTAACAGGGATACTTCACGCATTGCGCAATGCGTGAAGTATCCCTGTTAGGTTTGTAGGCGCTAATGCGCGTCTGCGCGCGCCACGTGCCGCAGCGTGCCACGGCGTCTGAAGCAACTATTTCACACCAGAGGTATTGCACAGTATCGTAAGAAATTGAAGGTTCTCCAATATATTAAGAATGACAGGCATTCTTCATTATTCTAATTATCTGCCAGACGTGTTAATTTGAGTTCGAAGACTGATTTGATTTTTTTTAATGTTGGTTTTTTCGAAAGGAGAAGTTTGAATTTCCTGACATGGATGTGAAGAATGAACACCAATTTCTCATTATGATATTGATTTAGGTAGGACATTTGAGCGTATTCAACGCGTAATTGGATAATTGCGGATGAAACATTTTTATACCTCCCTAAAGATGAAGTTGCATTCGCAC